AGTTCATTATTACTCTGGCTCAAGTAAAACTGTTTCTGTTTTAAAATCTGAAGAAGCAGCAGCTCCTGGTACAACATGGGACTACATAGCAGACACTGAAACATTAAAGATTAATGGTAAGATATACTGACATGTAGTGTGAATTTTTATAATGCCATTACCTTTTTATTTAGATTCTGTCCCTATAAGATCAGATGGTACATATGCTATTCTTAATAAGAGGCCAAATTTTGGGCCAGGGAGAGTAGTTGATATTGGCTTGTATAAAGATGATCGTCCCTTTATAATAGAGCCATCAGTCGGTGTTGGTACTTATGCTGAAATCTGTGTTCCTAACAAGCTGTATTTTGCGGTTGTAGTCCATGAAAGTCCACCTGGAAATATAATATATCCCACTGTATTTTCTGAACTAATTGAAAATACAAAACATACTGGAGCAACGGCACAAATAACCGAGTTACAAGAAGTTGACCTCAATCAGTTTCCAGATGGTGTCAAAGTGACTCTTACTCAAGAGAAACTGACGCAAACATTCATATTTAGTGCTGAACCTAAAACTTTATAGTGCTATTATCTATGTGTTTCATATTGTATTATATAATATTTTTCAACCATTCATTCATACCAAAGACACTTTGTTCTCATTATACTATAGTATAATGCAAACTGAATGAACTCTTCACCTCGTCTTGGTTTTAGTTATAGTTATCTAAAATAAAACTAGCTATTGTAATGCCAGGCTTTGCAACTGTTTCTGTAGCTATTGTAATTATTAGTTTTTCAACATCATTAGTTTAGATGAGGTTGAAATGTCATTGGCCTCACCAGTGATTAGCATGGGCAAGAAGTAGTCGAGGGAAAAAGTTAAGCTTCTTTCTCACATGACCTATTTGCTGCCATAATTGCAGTTAGTTGATGATGTAAAAGACTCTCTTCATGTGTCAAAGTTCTTTTAATGTTGATAATCAAACAGATATTGCAGCAAGGCCACGCACCATAGGTGCCTCGTTTAATTGTTTTTTTAATCATTTTACAGCTGCTATTGATACAAATACTCTAGGACATGTTTTGAAAGTTTCCAAGACAATTTTAAGTAAACGTAATTACCCAGACCTCCCCAAGGTATAATTATTATTGATTGTATTTTACGCTCTCAATATTGTGTATAGTAATGGAGTCCTTTGAAAAATGTGTAAAGATGACAATAGCATCGAAACTGCCTCTTGTTAGTATAAAAATATGGAGACTGCACCAATTAATAGTGGAAAGAAATTAGAAACAAACCAAGAGGCAAGAATTAACATTAACAATTATACATGACTGGGCTATCATGGACTCTGAGTTCTATGCCTTTGTCTATAATTGAGGTGTATACCGTATAGCCACAAAGTTTCGAGGCAATAAACTTTCGCGAATCAGCTAGGCCACAAGTCTTTTTTTGCGAATTAACTTTTGCGGTTCTTGTTTTAAAGCACACGTGTTTATGGGCAATACGGATAATTTTACGGAATTAACTTTCGCAAATACAAAAAATCCACGAAAATAGAGAAAGTTGTACCCTCGAAATTAAGCGGCTATACGGTATGCATATGGGTTAAAGGGTGGGGCTATTACACATAACCAAAGTATAGTATGCCCATCATTAACAGTTCATTCAGTGTAGTTTCTTTAATTAATTGCCAGATATACAAATAATTTTTTTCTTTTTCATACATGGTTTGTTGATGCTGTTGTAGCCAATGAAGCTGTAAATGGTGACAGAATAGTACAGGAAGAGGAGCTTGAAATTAGGCCTGAAAAAGTGGCAGCTTCTTGCTTAGATGAAAACATGTGTTAAGAGAGCTGTAGAAAATATTGTACCAAAGATGCATGGATGGCGATTGAGAATGTTGCAGACACAATTCAGAGGAACGCTGTGTACTATTGTGAAAGATGTACATGTATGATTGATGATGACAATCAGTCATTAGTTGTGTATGTTTGCTGTTTGAACTGGTTTCATTTTAAATGCTTAAGTTAAAAATATCCTCCAAAAGCCAAACATTGGTTTTGTTGTGATTGTTATATATATATATATATGTATAAAATAAAATTGTCTTCTTTTTTTCTGTTTGTGTCTTGTTTTAACTTGAACTTAATATAATGAATTATTAATAAACCTAATTTTAATTTATAACTTTAATGCGCATGTGCAGATGTAACTTCCAGATCTATAGCTAGGGCTGAGGCTATTATTCTCAAAAATCAGTCATTATTCTATTCTTGTAAACAATGTTCATTATTCTCAAAAAAATTACCTATTGTAATTTATTCCCACCTTAAATTCCATTTATTCAAAGATTTTGTCAGTTCACTAATTACAAGTTATTAATAGTTAGTTAACTATTATTATTATTATTACTCAATTAACTATTATTACTAGTTAGTTAGCTATTCCATACGAAAATATTTCCACATCGACGAAAAAAGGAAAATTACGGTACATGTAGAAGTGAAGTCATGCACTCATGGTCACGGTTGTCTGATTTGTAGGGTATAAAAGGGCTTCACCTCTTCTCCACATTATTACAAGCATTATTTTCTTTTTTCGCTATAAGAAAGAAAAGAAGTTGGACCTAGTAAGCAGCCATGGCTACTTCAAATATAAAAGTTTCTTACGTTAATGCCACTGGTAACACCGATTTTGCAGTTGTTGTGTTCACAAAGAACTTCAATGTCAACACTCCAAAGGTGTACTATTCTGCTTGGAAAATCCTTAGGGCACAGAGCCAAGTCGACTTTGTCTATCCTGTTTCCTTAGGTGTTGGTGTTGTATACACTACTAGCACAGGATTGCATAAGGCTGGACCGTTTCCTGCAGAATTAGGATCAACTTGGGAACTCTCTCATGATACCATTACTACCACACCAAGCTTAAGAAAAGGTACATTTTTTCCTTTGCATGGTCAAAGATATTGATCTGACTGCCTGACAAGTATATATATACATGTAGTTTCTGATGATCACTTGATGCTCCCCGGCACTCTGGTACTGACATGAGTCATTTTCCCTTTTTTCTCTGTTCTCTTCATTTAGTTGCCAATACTCAAGCCAATCCAAATGGATCTATTGTTGTCAAGAATCTTCCACCTTGTACATGGAGTGGACGCATGTTTGATGTTGGTGTTTACAAGGATAATGGTCTTCTAGTTGTTGAAAAAGATGTCCACGTTGGTAGTCAAGCTGTCATCATGCTCAAGCCTAAGCTTTACTTTGCAGTTGTCTCTAACAT